AAAAAAAAAAAAAAAAAAAAAAAAAAAAAAAGACATGAAGTTAAAAATATCTGCTATTAATATTCAGTCACTGATATGTGTGAAAGCTTGGTGTTTTTTGGTTTAGAGACTGAGTGAGATTGAAAGCTGAAGCGCTGTCTATTACTGGGGTCTTGCCTGGCATTCTGAGTGCTGCTAGTCAGTGGAAAACTACAAATTTTGAGGCAGGCAGTTCTTGAGCTACTTTAACAAGTTTTAAAGGCATGCGTGCATAACTAGATTGTAATCCTAGATGGGTGGTGTCAACAGGCGTTCCCCCCCTCATGATACCCAACAGAAGGAAGAAAAAAAAAAACAAACAAAAAAACCCAACGTTCTAACGATTCTGACACACTCAGCTAGCAACAAGTGCCTATTCAACATTTTCCAACCCTCATGCAAAGCCTTTGGACCAAGGCAAGAAAACAAGATTGAGCAAGAAAGGTGTCCATGAAGAGGTTCACTGACAAAACAAAAAGGAAACTGTGGAGATACAGAAAATCATTTCACTGCTACAATACAACATTACATTAATAATATATCCCACAGCCTTGATATTGCATTGAAGATGTTTATTAAAGCTATTGCCACCACTTTAACCTTTTTATTACAGATGCAGCTATAATTATTTTATACACATTGCATGTTTGTGCTCATTCAGTGTTGATGCTCAGTCTATTAAAGAAGGTTTTAAGCTTTGTGAAGCGCCATGTCTTCACAATCTATTGTGTAGGTGACTTGGCGCATAGAAGGATAAACAGCATACACGCTTACAACACACATATAATCCAGAAACCTGCCAGGCCAAAGGCCCGAAATTCATTTAGCTTCTAACTGCATTTCAGTTTGCTTAGTAACAGATGGCAGAAGACCAGTTAAGAAAAGGACAAGCCCTTAGAGACCATATAGGCTTGAAATTTATTGCCATGTATGGAAGGTGTTATAAGAGGAACTTCTGTGTACCATTTACTGCAATCGATGTATTTGATGTGTAATTGATGCAAGAAGGGGCGTGAACCCTGATGTTATAAAATCATTTTCAAGTGTATTCTTAGCAGGAGACGTGTGCTGATGTGATGCTGCATACTTGCTGCGTGTGTTTTAATAAACTTGTTTGATTGCACTCTCCTGGGCCTCTGTTGGTTTGTTTCATTGCTCAACATTTTCAAACTCATGACAAAACTAATAAATGTATTTCTTATTTATTTAGTGCATCCTGCCAAGCATTAGGTTACTATTGTCATCCTAATTGGAGGGGGAAACAAATATGAGCTCAGTTTAATTTCATTTCCTTCTACCTTAATCTGGTCATTGACACCGAGTGACAAATACATTTTCCATGATTGTGTTCTTGTTTTTTTTGTATGGTACGTTGTTATTTTTCAGGAGGAGAAAACAAAAAAAACAAAAATCCATGTCGGAACTTCCTCATGGCAGAGGGCCCAAAAACAAACGCCATCTCTATTCCCTTTTAAAACCATGTAGATGTGAAACGCAGGTGTTCTTGACGTGCCAAACAAAGCCCCAGCTGTGTCCAACACAAAGTGGATGCAGATATTTTTAAATGGAAAAACCATGAGAATGACCTTTCTCCCACTCAGTGTCCCGGATGTAGCCTTCATGGCGCGGTTCAGTCACTCAAAAATTGGCATGCGGTCAGGAACCAATAGTCATTCATGCAGCGTTTAATACTGTACACAGAAACACTGCAGTTCTCCCACTGACCTTTGTGTCACATGTTACACAGTAGGCGCCCCTTCATTGTTAGCCTTCCCCATTGTGTGCTTATTTCCTTAGCTGTGAGGGAAGAACTGAGGTGACCTGCATTGTGAAGGTGTAGATTATGAAACACTAAGGGGCGCCTACCCCAGCACTTAGTCACTTACTATATCCTACACTAGCACAATTTAAGGAAGTAGTCCACGATGATCTCTGATTAGTAGCACCAATTCCAAATATGGTGAATGAAAGTGAATAAGATGCAGGGGCAATAAGAAACGGGATTAGCAGACATCACTTCTTCTGGTGCAATACTGTTTTGGACAGATTAATGAGAGATCTACCCAACACTTAATTCTGCCATGTATAATCTCATCTATAAATACTGTTATGCCAGTCGAAAACTGTAGTCTCTCGTGTGAGACAAATATCTATAATATAGGGCAGCATCATGAAGTATTTGGGCTGATTATATTGGAAAAGAGATGTTAATCACACAACTGATTTGAGCGAGAGTGTGCTGTGTGCAGGCCTCTTAAACAGCTGAAGAAAATCTCCAAAACGCAGCCAACCTAAAAAGCTGCAAATACAATCCCCTTCTGTGTATCCAATTTGCTTTTCAGAGTCGCACTGGGCAAAATAATAAGCTGATCCAATTTGGAAATATTTATCATCCCAGTCCACTGCTTCTCTATCAAAACAGCTCCTGAATAATATTTACCCCATTTTCCCCGCCTTTTTTCAAATTGAGTAATATATTCTTGCATATCTGAATTACAACTGAATTTGCTCTTTTACACCACACCCAATTTGCCACATATAATAACCGGGGGATAACTTGTAAAGTGCATATGCCAGCTGCCGTCTAGCTACAGGTGCAAAGATCGTACACAATAAATGAAGAAATCAACAAATCATCAAAGTACAGTGCGGTGCTGCATGACAGGCATATACACTGTGCTGCTGATGCTGCAGGGGGAATATGTCTTGGTTTTGTTTTAGTTCCCCTAATGCAGTTTGACAGGATTAACCCTGAACATCATACCTGTCTAGCCACATTAGCAGACCTAAGAGCACCAAAAATCTTGTTTACCAGAGTTAATTTGGAACAAATGTTTTTGACTCTTCCAACCCATCCAATTTCATCTGTAACAGCGAAACAGATGCACAAACAGAAGTTTAGTGCAAGTGCATAAACTTAACTGCAGTGGCGACCATCTCTTATCTGCTCACACAGATAACAGCCCTCTGCTCATTCCACTGTGCACCTTGACAAGGCTCTGATACGAACGATAACAATCAAAGTGGGCAAAAATATCAGAATTTCTTCCATGTAAAGTGTTAACAGGAAACCAAATACAAGAAAAACTGAACGATAGGACACAACTGCAACGAAAAAGGAAAAAAAACAAACTTTACCATCATTCTGATAATGTGTCACAGCTTAAACCAACTTGGTATATGAGAGCTTGCGTGGAAGAGAAAAGGCACTGAGATTGTTCGTTATTCTTCCCCATTTATTTTCCCAGAAGTGGATGCTTATTCTGGTTCGGCGAAGACTGAAAATATTTTTATTGAAATGTTTACTCAGCCCTGCCAACGGTGCAGCAGCTGTTTATCTAAGTGAAGTTGATGCAGTTCCTTTTTTCCTCCCCCCTCCCTTCTATAGCATACTGCAGTCCCACTGGACCACAAACAAAGTGACAATGAAAGTAATGATAAAAGAAAAAGAATCAAATAAAGCAAAACTCACAATAACTCAGTCGGTTCCGTGCATACCAGTGAGAAATCCACTACGGGCAGACAACAAGTATGACAACTACACAGCTATTTCCAATACAGTGTTAGACTGTGGGTGACTTCTTGAGCATCAGGTCGTACAGCTAAGAGTAAAACAACTAAGAGGATATGAGTGTGTGACTGGCTGTGGGGCTCCGCCGTCTTAGAGACTCATATCCTGTATTTGGCCTCCCTTTCTGCCTGTGTTTGTGTGCAAAAACATAAAACCGGTTAGCACCCAGTGGAATGAGCAGGTATAATTCAACAGCTGCACAAACAAAATGTTTAAAAAAAAAAAAAAAAAATGCAGCTGCATTTTAACCTTTGCTCTGACCAGGGCATCAACAACCTGAATAAGGACAAACAGTACACCGGGCACATACTCTTCAGCTTTACTTTTATCTGATGGAGATAAAGCTGTTGTTCTGTTTTGTTAACACTATCACAAGACCTATCCTGGTCACATCGAGGGTTTTCAAAATCCAACCTATCTGAAAGGCATTGTCAGGAAACAAGCAACGCAAAATCTCTCTCTTACCGTTTTCTTTTCTTTTTTTTGTGAGCAAAAACTTTCTGCAAGATCAAGATTTGATACCTGTGCTCTACCTCTGACAAGCCCTGCAAGCAACCTGATTAAGAACAGTGGGGGAAAAGACACTGTTATTTGTTTGCAGATTAATTTTTAAGACAAAAAACAGACTCACTCGCACTGGTATGAAAGCAGCACACAGAGAAAGTGAGGTAAGGGGTGCTGAGGTGTCCCAAGAAAGGAAAAAAGAAATCAAACTTTCTTTTTTTTGAAAAGCACCTGTTTCTCTATGGAAGAAGCCTGCTGATTTGAACTGATGATAAAATTACAGTACTGATGCTGACTCACTGCGTGTTCAGCTACTGTTAAGAATCAAGTATGTCTCAATCAACATCTAAAAAAATAAAAACAAAAGAAATAATAATAATTAAAATGACAGGTATACAACAATCTACACGAACTTAGCAAAGACAATAAGATTGTGAAGCTGGCTGATTTCCTGTAGCATTTGAATACTAAAAATCGCACCTTGTGAAACGTTTAAAAATCCAGTGACCTACCAATGCGAGAGACAGACCATTTCAAAACACACACTCCGACTGTGGAATATGGAGGGGTTTTTGTAATAATATCCTTGTGTATCCCTTAAAGTGGCGGACTCACGGCAGACGTCTACCGATCAGATGAGTAAATCGCGGGGGCCGAGTGTGTAACAGGAAACCCTTTTCTGCTGTGTAGGCCACGATCAGGGCAAGCTTCTTCTTTTCTCTCTCCGTCTCCCTGACCTACAAGGGGGATTCACTGTCAACTCATTTAGAGCTAAACTACTAGCTGAACACTTGGAGTTTTAGTTGGCGGAAAGCACCTTCGCCTCTCTTGTTCTTGTTCCTCAGAGCTGTCAAGAAGTGAGTTTCCTGAAAACGAGTGGGGGTTAAACGTAATGTGGCAAAGAAGAACTTGCCCCCGGTTTGGTAATGATGGTTTTGTTTAAACTGAAACTAAAAGCTGCAACGGGAGGGGAGCGAAAACAAAACACTTACAGCACTTATGATCAGACAGTTAGTTGGCTCGGAGTTATTCAGCCACTGATTACGACCACACGCGCGCGGCTGATTGACAGCCTCGCGCGCGCCACTGCACCAAGCACAGGTGTGTTAGCTCAGCCTAAATCTAAGCTTTTCCTCGTCCAGTTGTATGTTGCATAAGCTTTATTGTTTTGTTTTTTTTTAAAGGAAAATCGCTAATATCTCAATGTGTTTAAATTCACTTTGTGCTTTCGCACCAGTTGGCGCCACCTGGTTTGATCGTGCTCGGCTGTACTTAACAATCATTCAAAGGTCGCTTGTGAGAAAAGTTACAGTCTGCCTCTTGTTTTTATTTTTAGCAGGCTAGTGCTTCGTTTACTTAAGGTTTAGCTTGCAGTAGCTGTTTTGCTTACACTTCTGTTGCCTCCCACGAGTCATTTGTCTAGATTTGAATGACCAGTTCCCTCAGAAATTAAAAAAAAAGTAAAGTAATATTTAAAAAAAGAAAAGAAACGGAAGTCGTATTAACTGGTGTCCCGATGAGAACGCTTTGTTTTATACGCTTGACTTGTACTTTAAAAACAGAGCCACCACACCGATAAGCAGTTTGCATTTCTTACCATAATAATGCTAAAAAAAATAAATAATAGCAACGATTTGAGTTTCATTACGTTTCCCAGCTATTTGCAATAAAAAGGCATACAGTACAAAAGTATGCAGGGAGCTAACATGTAGGGAACAAATGTGCAGTTTCAGTAAGCAAAACTCAGGTAGAATATTGGCTGCGAGGTGAACTTACATTTAAATGAGTTGTTCAGTTGTTTCGATACTCTGCTGGTATGTTGTTGCTCGCTCTCCAAGATCCTTGTTATCATGGAAACTGCCAGAGTGTGTGCACATTAATACAGGTGTAGTCAGCCAACAAACTTCGTCATTGGCTGCTGAGCTTGTGGAAATTTGACACCACTTATCTTATCTGTTCTACAACTTGACTTGCTATGCAGATTGTGAAACTTGCTCGGTGCTCCAAGTGAATAGGAGTACAGTGATCACATTAGCGCCAGTGTGTTGTTTGTGCTCATAAAATCATCTGCTGCTGTCAGGGTAGTTCATCTTTGTTTCTTAATCGTGTTATTGTTTCCTCCATGTGCATGTTTCCTGCAGCTGGGATGCAGGAGCATATTCAAATGTTTATTATTGAATCTAAAGTGTAATTCAATTTTATGTTCTCCTCTGCAGGCCTGTCAGAAGCCAGTAGCTATTGGTAGTGAGTTTTCTGTTTATTCTTCTCCCCTCATAATGACCCTGCAGCCTGCCATTGCCAAAGGGAATGACCAACAATGACTTCTACCACATTCCCAGTGTGACATTTCTCCGTGGACCGATTGCAACAACAGCTTACTTCGTGACGTGTCCTCCTGCAGGACTAACTATCCTATTAGTGCTCGCTTTCCTAACTAGACTGCTGCCAGCTCAATGGTGATCACTAGCTCAGGTCTCACATTAGTGTCCTTAAACTGCTGGGATCGTGCAGATCTTTAATCCTGTCTCCCTTTATGACAGTGCTCTTCATGTGATTGCCTCTTTTTCTCATAGGTCAATACTGACTTTAGACAGTTGTCTAAAGTATGGCTTTTGTCCAGTGGCTGCAAAGAAACCAGGGAAGGTTTAATGGATCATGGATCATGACATGGATCACCTGCAGTTAATGTTCCAGATGAGCATGGGGAAGAATGTGATATGAAGTGACACAGAGCATACGGCCTTCAAAAGAAGCATGTGGCCCACAAAAAAGAAAAAATGTGTGAATATTCAAAGATTGTCACCAGTGTTGGTCAAGTTACTTGAAAAAAGTAATCAGTAACTAATTACTGATTACTCCCCCCAAAGAGTAATTCCGTCACTTTACTGATTACTTATTTTCAAAAGTAATTAATTACTTAGTTACTTAGTTAGTTACGATTTACAACCTGAATAGGTAATAAAGCAATAGCTCTTTCAGCCCAATTCTAATTTTTCTGCATAATCCATCATACAAAATGTAATCAAATGGAAAAGTTTCTTTTTAAAACTTGTTTTATTAGTTTTTATCTTTTAACTTTATGCATCAAGCAAAAATTTAATTATATGCAACATTCTCTGACTGGAAGAAATTTGTTTAACATTTAAACCTATTTTCTGCACATTCCAGCAC